AGAAATCCGAAATCCAGGCTGCCTTAGAGGAAGCTGAGGTACATGTTCAAAATTATCGTTTTCCAGAGAGAGGTACTGATGAAGAATGTGAGAGAAGAAATCTTAAGGCTGTGAAGGAAAGTCAAGTCGTCATTGTCCAGATCATGCAGAGAAAATGAATCCTTTTTTTCTGTGTATGATTTAGTTTGGAAGAGAGCAGCGGTAGTTAAAAATTATTTTATTGACACAGTGTTTCTCTCCCATTCAGGCCTCCCTGGAACATGAGGAGGGGAAGATCCTGCGCCTCCAGCTTGAGCTCAACCAGGTGAAGTCTGAGATTGACAGGAAGATAGCAGAGAAAGATGAGGAGATCGACCAGCTGAAGAGAAACCACCTCAGAATTGTGGAGTCCTTGCAGAGCAGCCTGGATGCTGAGATCAGGAGCAGGAATGAAGCCCTGCGGCTCAAGAAGAAGATGGAGGGAGACCTGAATGAAATGGAGATCCAGCTGAGCCATGCCAACCGCGTGGCTGCAGAGGCACAAAAGAACCTGAGAAACACACAGGCAGTGCTCAAGGTCTGTTCAGCAAAGCTACAGAAAGAGAAAAGTCTTCCCTGACATATTTGGCACCCAAGTGCACACTGTTTCCTTGTTATTTCTCTTGTCTCTTTTACAGGATACCCAGATACACCTGGACGATGCTCTCAGGACACAGGAGGACCTGAAGGAGCAAGTGGCCATGGTGGAGCGCAGGGCAAACCTGCTGCAGGCTGAAATTGAGGAGCTACGGGCGGCCCTGGAGCAGACGGAGCGGTCGAGGAAAATGGCTGAGCAGGAGCTTCTGGATGCAAGTGAGCGTGTGCAGCTACTCCATACTCAGGTAAGTACTGCACTTTAATAGATATATTATCCCCATTTCTTATAGAAGTGAAATGATCATTAAGCCTATCTTCCTTATGTAACAGCTATATGTCTCTGAATCTTCAACAGTCTACCATTACCCCTAGGCAGCACTGCATATTCTTCATATAAATCATTAATGAAACCATAAACAAAAAGAGGCAACTTCTTTTTCTAAATATGGTAAAATATTTTGGAGAAAACAGTATGTTCTTTCTTCAACAGAACACCAGCTTGATCAACACCAAGAAGAAACTGGAAACAGACATTGCCCAAATTCAGGGTGAAATGGAAGATACAATTCAGGAAGCCCGCAATGCTGAAGAGAAGGCCAAAAAGGCCATCACAGATGTGAGCTGGGGGCTCCTTTCACTGTTGAAGTTGAAGGTGGATGTATCATCCCCCAAACTG